ATAAATGGTTACAGTACCTCGTTTTGGATAGTATAGCTGTGAATAATTCGAGTCCAGTACTGAAAGTATCGGAAGAGAAAGATTGAAGAAATGCTATCATACCTCTGGGGATAAACAAGTACAGTTCTTTACGGTTAGCACTTACGAGTACGGTTTGCAGGAAAAACCGGAATACATGCTAGATATTACAAGAGTTATTGAATAAAGCTATCGACACACGAATAAATGAAAACTTTGTTTGTTTTCCATTCTATATTACGTATACAGTTCGTCCTTTAAATTTTTCTCATTACGACTTCAGTTTGATATTTACATCTTCTTCATGATATTCTTGTATTCTTTACTGTTATTTTAATTTGTTCTATTCTGTATACTGTAGTTTCCTTAATTATTGTAACATGGCACATTAAAGCAGCAATGATAACTTATTTTTGGCGTAAGCGTCTTGCGTTCATTTCATCTGTTCTCTTCTTTTTTTCAGTTACATCTGCATAACTCGTCAGTAGCTCAGTGGTAACTATGAAGGCTTATAACGCTTAAAACCGGGTTTTGATACCCGTGATGGTCACAGCACAGGTAGCTGAATGTGTGTATTTGAGCTAACAACAAACAAACATATGTATACGTAGTTTAGAGCATTCTTTACACCTGACTAAGAGCATACAACCGAAACGCAGCGCATATGAACGAAGTTTTCATTTAGGTGTATGTCGTTTAACATCTTTTGTAACTGCTTTTATATTCTACTTATGACAAGGCACAATTAGTTTTATTAACTAATGTCAATAATACCCATAAGCTCATTTTTTATGCAAAACAATAGTCAGATGACCAGTCATGTGATCTGTTATGCGGTTGTTTATTATTAGAGCCTAAAGCATGATCCGTAAACATTTGCTAATAAGACATATGGCCACTTCAGACACAAGTCGTACTCATTGTGGCAAGCTCCAAAGGAGTGAATACATGGGTTCTGTGGTAATACATCTCACTTCTTTATCAGATCTGCTACCATCTCGTTAACACTGCTTGAAGGTGAACCACGAGCTGCCCTCGTCTTCCTCAACCTAGAGCATCCTGTACATGTGTAATTAATTGCTTTCGAATTCAATAAGCGTGTTTAGACGTTTATTAGTTGATCTGTCGCCTAGTTGCTGCTCTCAACTATTGATTCAGTTGGAAAGCTGATGCCTACCGGTTACGGTAAATTTATATAGTCAAATAGTGATCATCTTACGAATCTTATATAATGGTCTATCTTATCCAGGTCTCCAGTCAACTGTATTGATGGTCTAAAAGCGAGTCTACGTTCGTTGACAACAACGCTCTGTGCAACAACCTAGTTCGCTTGACCGGTTTTTAGCTAACCTGTTACTAGCTCTGTTACGTCATGAAAATAACCAAACGTCTTTGTTTGACTTTGGCATGTTTCGCTATTAACCTGAATTTTTTACACACCTTGTTTACTTCTCTTTTATATACTTGTGCAAATCAGATCACATAACTGGCTACCTGACACTTATTTTACATAAAAATTAGTTCACAGGTACCATGGACATTAATTAGTAATAGTAGATGTCCCTTATCAGAACTCTGATATAGAAAAGTCTAATTATATCCTTGATTATTGATTTTGGTCAATGTATCTTCTGATGAATTAATATTTTCTATAGTAAACGTCGTAACAATACAGTAACCGAGACAAAATGTAATACAACCATGAAACTACATTTTGAAATCTATCTCATCCAATGTTAATGATGCAGATATTCAGAAGAAAACGCTCGAAACTTTCATTTATTTTACTATTTCAAATCAAATATTACAAATTTAATGATGACTATCTATACCTTATTTCACAGCCTGGCACATTACTAAATGCATAAACTTCAAGTTGAGCATATACGGCTATCCATTATGTGATTTGTTTTAAAAACTAAATTAAATGCTGTTTTACTGAGCATGCCCAGTAGTATACCGTTAAATGCCCCCGATTACTCAGCGGTAATGATGGTGATTTATAATGCTAAAAATCGGGTTCTATACCTGCGATGATCACAAGAGATAGCCCATTGTGTGTAACTATATTCCTACCGACAAACAAATGCCGTACAATATTTTCAATAATTGTATTTCAGTTGACCCGTAGTTTGTGTGGAATCATTCTCAAATTAGGTTTACTCCTTCCTCTCCGACGCACCTTCTAAAAATACAACATTATATAAAGAATCTATACATTGAAGCAAAATATTCAAGGTATAAAGATATTACACTAAATAGCGGGAAATAACATATGACAGTTCACCGATAGGTATCCCACTTGAGTTAAGTAAGTGTAAATATCTATTTCTTTACTTCAATAGCCGCCTTCAGATATCTCCAGGAAACCTTAGGATTACACGAATGACTAAATGTCAAGTTCTGCTCGAAAGGCCGTCACTGGAAAAATAGAAAACGTATAATTAAACTCAAGATTATATTTAGTTTGTGAAGTGATTAGCGATAGGATTTTCGTCAATCACCTTATGAGATTTTGATTTTAGTATTCTTGTTTCCTAGATACGTAAACAGTGCTCACCACCTACTCTTAAACAAGTGTTCGATATGACGACACAGTGTGACAACAGGATCGTTTCTGCACGTTCTTTAAAGATTAATAATTTATTAATCAAATTTATAGCAAAAGAAAAAAATTATATTAAAAGCGAAACTTAAGATATCATAGTGGCAGACGACTTTTACATCACCCTGTATAAATATGAAATAAATTTAGTCACAGCTAACTTTATTTGGTTTCTGCAAGTACACTTTTGTATCGATATGAATATATATTTTCAAGAAGGCTAGGCACGTACGTGATACGCTCAGTTTTTTTAATCATTGTATTTAAAAAGTATAATTTAAACGCTTGATGTTATTAAAACATTCCATAAAATTCTACAACTCATTATCTTCTTAGCTACGTGATTAGCTTTATAGATCAACTTTGTTCAAATATTGCATTGCAATGCGTTACACTTTGCTTCAAGAAATGATATTTTTTACACTGAGTGATATGCAGGTTTTGCACACGAAAACAACGTAAGATTTCCTTCACTAAAATATATACAACTCTTGTTGCCTAGAAACGAGGTATTTTGATAAGAATTGCTCTTATGCGTACGAGTCTTTCTGGAAACATTCTCAGTTTTTCTACCCCCCCCCTTTTTTTTTTACTTGTAATGGTAGCTTCATTTTTGAGAGCTAGCTTTGAACACTTCCAGCCAAAAACGGGGAATATTTTTAATTCGAAACAATCTCTGCAAAAACTTTTAAGATAGCAACCAGTTTGTTTACTTCTAATACACAAAACAATAATAATAGTAGGAATAATGACAATAAGGTGAAATGCCAGAAATGTTAATTAGCAAGTTGATATGGTGTTGAATTGTGCAAACTTCTATTTCCATCTTCCATCTGCATCTTCTTGTTATCAACATAATATGGCAATATAAGAACTAATAAATATTTGCATTTCGTTTATTTTTCATAAAATCATCAGAAATCGAGACACAACTGGCTATTTTAATCATACACATATAAAATCTGTAAAACCCAACTGTACAGTAGTGAATACGCAACTTGGCCATCAATGAAACATTTATCTCAGTTTTTCACTGACAAAGATGCAAATGATGCCGATAAGTTTTACATAATTTTCATTGCTGAAGACGACAATATTGCATCGAAAGTCGTTTGGCTCAGTTTCTGCTCATGTAGATGCTAACAACGAGGCTTTAGGCTCAGTTTTCACTGTTGAAGAAGAACGTCTAATCTTTGGTCTGTTTAGTATTTAATTTTAGCTTGCAAAGACTGAATTTTCATTTAATAGATAAGCTGCAAGGTCACATAAAATTGGTACAGAAACATAAAAAGTGGCCTTTGAAACTATATTTACATGTATCCTACAAGAGCAGACAACAGAAAAGTGAAAACGAAAAAAAAATCGTAGTTAATCAAAGCTAAATAAAGACTAACTATAAGTACCATTTATATCTCTTTAAGATGTACATTTTCTATCTACAGTTTCATTCCAACTAATGTTAAATTCAATTTAGAGCCGAATACAGAATAAAATAGAAGCAATCTCTTCCATAGGCTGGTGGAATGAGCAATCAGTTTAAAGCTTTTATCTAATTTATATCTTTAAGACACAATTTTACCGGTATCTAGTCGATTTAGGACAAATTTTAAACACAGTGTGAGCTAGTTGCCTAGCGAATACGGGTAAATACAAATAAAATCTCACGTAAAAGGTTGAATTAAATCATATTAAAGTGAATTTGTGTTGTATTTTAATTAAGAAAGAATTATAAAAGCGATTCAACCTACGTTGATTTTATGTGCGTCTCTTTAATTAACAAGGCACGTAGCAAGGATATACTACGTTTATGAAATCAGTGTTTAGTATTTCAAACTTAGCGAAGCCTTATAAGATACAAGAGGCTACATAGCTAGGTAAGAGACCCCAAGGTTCAACCATAGTCATCCTAATTTAGAACTGTTGACAAGAGCGAGGAAACCCAGTCAGCAGCACCGTCCGTATAGTATGCAGTTACTCTTAATCTAAGGATGGAATTGACAGTCACAATTATAACGCAGCTGAAGGTGCGGAATGTATTCAGCAGCTTATTCTCGCTCGAATCTCAGACCTTTCAAAATTTAGCCATGCACGGTTTTTAATCAAAACTAATAAGACTAATTTTATAAGTCTCACGATATACTTAAAGAAACTTATAGTTAACTTTGAAATTAACCCACTAATAAGAATGACTTTACTTGTTTTTCTCCAGTTGTACAAAGCGAGATAAATATGAACATGTCACATGTTCCTTGCAAGAAGTATCAAGATGGAGAATCAAGAAAAGTTGATCCAAGATTACGACTAGGAAATATTAAAATAGAATACTTTAGTATTATACTTGACTAATTACCGGTCTTTTATTTTGTTTGTTTAATAGATTCAGGCGCAATGTTGAAAAAATTCTGTGTAGATGTTGTGACAAGCGTCCCATCCAACAGAGTCCACTCCCACCACGAAGGCAACCGGGACCACAGCGGGAAGTCATGCGACTAACCAATCTGATTCCAAACAGGGGATATGTGCTAGCACTAAAAAGGAATTCTTCAGAATAATTTTACCAAGAAAGTAAAACAGTCAACTCCACGATAATTTTAGTTACTGTTAAAAGAAACTGATATATGTCATAAATTGATTTTTGAACTAGCTAATTTTAGTTTAAGGAATAGGTAAAAAAAACTAATTTCTATTCATTTTTGTTTCTTAAAAAAAGAATTTTTTTAAACATTTCTCCATTATAATTATAATTACTAAACAATGCATGTTTCAAAATAGTAATAACGTTATTGTGTAATTCAAAGATTGTTTATATATCAATACATGTTAACAAAAGTGTCAGTGTTAGTGAACGTAAAATAGTCATGCGATTAATACAGGTGCCTGATACTTGTAGCTAATATTCGTGCATTAACCTGATATTTCATATTCAAAATACTGACCAGTGTAAATAAAGAAAACGTGCTTAGCTATTACGAGTTTGCTATGTTAGAGTTTATGTGTTAACGTACTTCTGGTTCCGATCAAAATTCTGATAAATTTCGAGCTCTGGAATTTTGCCTTCGAAAGTGGATGATTAACATCATTTTATTTATACTTAGTATCAGGTCAGTCCTTATCTTCATCACTCTTGTGAGCGAAATAGGATCAGAAGATGAACGTGGAATGGTTATTTTTTAAATCCCCGAACCCAGGCGCACCATTCTCCTGTATAAGTAAACTGATATGTAATTAGATATCTTCTCAAGTTTAAGGTGTGACGTTCTTATGATCACACCATAATTTATATTATTGGTATTCAATGTTCTTACATCATGCTGTTGTGTTGTTGATGATCAGCTTATCTTTTATAACATCGCTGAATACTTGATAATGTTAAGCGTATTGATAAAATTAAGTAGACAAAAACGATATGTCAATGTAATTTCTATGTTTAATAAAATCTGTTGTAATCTTTCTCACGACTTTTTTAAAATGCATATTTTACAACTGGGCTATTCATAAGTATAAAAACAGTATACTGGTTTATTTATTAAACTTGGTATGTTTGTAACCCTCAAAACAACCAAAATATTTTACATTGCAAATAACTATTTTTTGACTATGAGTATATTCCTTAAGTGTTGTTAATTACACAGGTTTGCGATGGTTTTATTGTCTTGACATTTTCACATGTTCTACGGTCATTCCTGTACGCTGAATCCGAAAATGATATCCGTTTCTTTCCATTACTTATAAAATTTTCACAAAACGTCATAACGCAATACCTGAAAGAAAGACCACTACACGTAGTTTTGAGACGAAAAAACGTAGATTTCACAAAAAAATCAGGATGAATGAGGATGCATATTTGTTTGGCATCAATGTTCTTCCATTTTTACAGTTTGTTTGTATTTTCGTTAACAAACATGATAATATAAAATGTTCATTGTGGTAAACGAAATAATAATTTGATCTGAGTAAGAGTTTTATTTTCTTCCCGATTTGTTTGTTTAAAGTTAAGCACAAAGCTACACAATGGGCTATTTGTGCTCTGCCCACCACGAGTATCGAAACCCGGTTTCTAGCGTTGCAAGTTCGCAGACATACTGCTGTGCCACTGGGGGGGGGGCTCTCGATTTGTAAAAAATCCTTACGTGATAGAAAAAATATGAATATTAGTTTCGAAATATGCGTAGCTGAATTATGTAAAATCTGTTATTAAAACCAAAACAACTTTTATGAAGTTTAAATTCGCAGGCATGTTTGTCGTTAATGTCTTCATACGCGTATCTACCGTTTTAAATAACAAGCTATTTTATTAAAATTAGTAAATTTATAATTAAAGATATATTTTTCCGTATAAAAGTTAATTAATTTGCAATCAAATGTAAAACGAAGTAAAATGCTGATGCTAGTTATTAAAATAACCACAGATTTGATTAAAATTGTTTCCTCTGAAACTGCACATTGTATAACTAGAAATAAAATGTATATTCATATCCACAAAAATAATACAAAACTTTACTAAGCTTGTATTAGAAACGAGAGAAAAGAGAAATTTATAATAACTGTGTAACTTGAGTGATTCAAAAGATTTTTAATAACTTTACTTCTAGAACAAATATAATCATTCTAATACTCTATTTCCACTGTAAGAACATCATTGAGGGAAAATTCCGATTACTTTATATAGACTGCAAGTAATGCTTTTGTACTAGGGATCTTGGGTGAGGAAATTCTTCCAGCGATTAGCAATTAGAACATCTTAAAAATATATTCATATAAACTACAAAGTCTGGCAAAACGTCTTGCATAAAGGCTCAGATAGCCTTCGTGTAGCTTTGCGCGAAATTCCAAACAAACAAACAAGCTGCATAAAGTGATATTGTATATTGTGTTATAGTGCTGGTACCTTATATATTTTAAGGATTTTGTCAAAATACATCTTTAAGAAATAAAAATAAATTTGTCTGATTTTTCAAGAGCCAATAGCAGCTCATTTATGATTATCGTTACAATGCACAAGATGTATTTAAAGGTAAATAACAAACTCGTAGCATCCTTTACTCGCCTTTAATCTATCTTTGTGTTCTCTTTGATGATTTTCGAACATATATGCACCTATATTTTACATCACAGCACGTAGTATATCTGGAATGTATATGCCAACAAAATGTTCCTAACTCAATATAACTTTCATTTTCTAATACCTTCCTCTCTACTTTAATCTGTTAAGTATTTAAAATCATATTATAAGATAACTTATGAAATAGATTATCAAACTGCTTTTTAAAGATATTAGTTGATATCAATGCGATAATAATAATTATGTTTCAGGTCTATCATTATAATGAACAATAACCATCTGAGACAATAGTAGTTATATCGTAAACAATGCAAGCAACGTATATTCATATATTCCAGGCAATGCTACTTGGAGTTGATGAATGAGCATAAGTGGAGAATGTTCACACTTTTCGAGTCTAATGTATAAAAACCAATATCATTAGAGAATGTACGTAATGTAAGAGACTATGAAACATTTTTGCACATTGTCCGTTTATTACATGGTAATGGGCACATTGAGCGGCTAATTTGCAAAACCCTGTTATTCGTCAGGAAATATACACATTCTCCAAATATTCTGGTCAATGTGTATAATAGCCAGTTAATATGCACATTCTATGTAACATATATGTATATTAATAAGTTTGTTATCTTTCTTAATGTTAGTTGTTTTCCAGAACGTTTTTTGCTGAGCCAAAAAATAAAAAGGATAAAACGTTCTATATCGTCCAATATAAAAACATGTCGAACAGAACTGACCTAGAATTAGATGGGAAATGAAATCTATGGAAGAATATGTTTCTAAAAATGTGGTCTTGTTGTTCGGAAAACCCATGTCGTAATTCAAAAGGCGAGTGTCATGTCTCAGCGTAATGAGTGCTCAGAAATGTTTTTATCTAAAATCAAAATTATGATTTTTTTATACTTCTAATAACACAGATATCAATGTTTGCCACGTCTTCTAGAAACTGATAATTATTCTAAATATGTTTTTTCAAGAACGTTTCATAAATTCCGTTTCTTGTTGACGAGAGTACCACATCTCATAACTGAGTGAATGGTGAGTATTTTACTTCTAAATTAGATAACAAATTCTGTGTAATGGAATAATAAAAATATTTGATAACTACGAAATATGTTTATGCTATTGTTTTATACGACCTTGCCTTTCTACCTCGCCACAAAGAGTATATGATGCTGACCAATTTTGTAGCTAATTCTACCATTCGCACTTCCATTATCAGTTCGTTGATAGTACTTGCTACTGGCCTAGATAGGCTAATTTCTTTGTTTGTTTTTACACCTTATGACACTTATGCACCTAAACAGCCAGGCCAAAGACCCCGATGTATCAAGCAAAGTCGTCTCTAATTTTAAACTGTGGGCTAGAGGGGAACAAACCAGTCAGCAGCACCCGTCTCTTGAAGTGAATACTCTTAAACATATAGCAGGATTAACTACCACTTATGTGACCATTCACAGATAAAAGTACGAAACGTATTTGTCTCGAAAATTCCAGTCCTATTCACTAAGCTTTGGAACTCTCAGGACTGGATCCAAAGAGATATTAATAATCATATAAAACAAGTGTTAAAATTCATATTTTTAACTTTTTCATACTGTTATCTCCTGATCAAAGAAACAAAAAGTACTTAGGGGGCTCTAAGGACTGACAGCATGTCAAACCGTTTTGCGAGGTTGTTATTTCCGGTGAATTTTTGCGGGTATTTTACGTTTGTTTTTGTTTTGCTTTAATGTAAGGGCAGTCTGAAGAAATAGTATGATCTTGTTTAAAAACAAAGATTCATGACAGGCTTTCCTGCACTACAGGACTGTTTTCTAGCAACAACAACAAAAATCATACTAGAACATTGAAATATATAATATACTCATAATGGCTTTTTTCACGCCCCCACAGCTTAAAGTATGGATAATACTTTGTGGTATTGCACGGACTCGAACCAGGGTCACCATCTTGTAAATCCACAGTTCTATTACCAGGCCAACCAAAACCTCTTTTAATGAAGTAAAATTGATTTACAAAATTTAAAATAACTAACTATAAAAGGCTTATTCCATTTGTTACTCTGTCTAGAACACTTTCATGCTCCTTTTTTGGTAATGCTCTACAATGCATATCGTCGCTTAGCAACAAAACAAACCTGATTGTCTTAGGCTAACTATGGTGTTTATGTTAGATGCTCAATATTCATGTTGATTTGTAAGAAAGATTTGTTTTCTTAGTCTTTATTTTTTTATAACTTCAGTGATATTACAGCAAAATAATTTAATTCGGAAGTTTTATGACACTGAGTTGTAGAACTTGACAATGTGATTTCTTTATTTAAAAGTAAAAAGAAAGTACCTTCCACAAAAAAAATTATTTTAATTCTATCAATATTGTAACTGTTTCCATGTACGTCGTTATAAAAATGAGTTCACAATTAGTGCTATTATTATACATAGAGTACAATTAGTTCTTTCTATGCATATTCTATAAATGCTATCATATTTCCTGCTGTAATAATCTACAAAGTCAAAGCTTACTCTTTTTGTGTATACCTTTCAGTAAATGACGCCTCAGTTAGT